TGTTATGTATTGAACTATAATCGCTGATAGTTTCACTAAACACATATACAAGACAAGATGGCGGATCAACACTACTTTATTACACGTGCAGTACATATAAGGTCATATGACCGGAAGTACATATACCGGAAGTATACTACAATTCCCCCCTTGTAATCACAATGTATAAAGCAGTAACTATACATGATGCTATAAACTAACAACAACGTTAACARAGTTCCTTCGAGCCATRTCAGTTAGTGTCCCGGTATCTTATGGGTGGTCGCACWACTCTGCCGTAACGGGTAGTCCTCAATGAAGCACTTTCATCAGGTTTGTCGTCCTCGTTGGTTGGCTGTGTAGCRTCCAATACAGGTTGCTCGGCCACATTAGGCGATACCTCCGACTGAGGTGGAACTGCCATAGTGTTGGGCTTTGGTTCTGTCTCATATTCTGCAATACGACTTGGTGGCAAGACGTCACAGACTTCAGGAKCAACGACTTCCTCTACGTTGTCYACCACTCTAGCTCGCAATTGGTCTACATGTCGCTTCCACACCATACCATTCACACTAACTTGATACARTACTGGACCAAGAGATTTGATAATYCCACCAGGATACCAMTTGGCACCTTTGAGAAAGTTCCTTACCCACACCTTCTGTCCTTCTCTGAAGACTTTCATAGGCTTATTGACATCCATGAGGATCTTTTGATTAACTCTKCGCCTCATGTTCGGCTTTAGCAGGTCAAGTCTAGTTTTGAGGTTTCTTCCCAGTAGTAGTTGTGCTGGACTTTGTCCGGTGGTAGAATGTGGAGCYGTCCTGTACGCCATTAGGAACCGATCAAGCTTGTACTGAAGCTCTCTGTTGGTTTGATCTGCCTTGACCGCTCGCTTGAAGCTTTGTACAAAACGTTCAGCAAGTCCGTTGGTGGATGGGTGATAGGTAGCTCCCATCACATGTTTGATACCGTTCACATTCATGAAGTTCTTGAACTCGGCAGATGTGAACTGAGGRCCGTTATCTGATACTACCTGTTCAGGTATTCCCATTCTGGCAAACAGTGTTCGGAGTGTTTTCACTGTCTCTTCAGCTGTGATGTTCTTCATCAAGAACACTTCAGGCCATTTACTATGGGCATCCTCCACAACCATAAACATGTTGCCTTTGAATGGACCAGCGAAGTCTACCTGTATRCGCTGCCAAGGTACAGCCGGATACTCCCATCGATGTAGTGGTACAGGCGTAGGATCATTTGCAACTTGTTGACACCCAACACAACGCTTAACTTGATCCTCAATTTCCTTGTCGATTCCCGGCCACCAGACAGCACTTCGACCAAGGCCCTTCATCTTTACCATCCCGAGATGACCTTCRTGTWGAATYTCTAGAACTYTCCCTCTCAGCTTAGTCGGCACGACCACACGGCTTCCCCACATTAGAATGCCTTCATGGACTACTAGCTCCCCCTTTCGGGTTGCATAATGCTTCAGCTCCGGCGATGTCTCCAAGGTGTCCCAGCCTTCTGTAACTAAGKTGAGTACCTGACTCAGGAGAGGATCCTTCCGTGTCTCGCTTCTGAGGTCTCTATCCGTAACTGGAAGAGTGTCTATCAAGGAGGCATAGTAACATCCGACACTATCCCTGTGATCCTCCGGGGCTACTACTTGTGGAAGTCGAGACAATCCATCACAGTTAGCATGTTCCTTCGTTCCACGATGGGCTATTTCATAAGAGAAAGCACCTAGGAAGAGACACCATCTTTGGATCCGAGCAGCGCTAGTCACAGGTATGGCTTTCGTCGGGTCCATTATGAACTTAAGTGGCTTATGATCTGTTTGGATCTTGAAGTGTCTANAGGAAAAGCTTCGAAAGAAGAAAAAGAATCCGTTCAAGTACTTTTTACGCAAGTGGAAGTTATCAAAGCAGAAGTTGTGGCCTTGGAAACCAAGAAAGATCCAGTTTTAAAGAAAGCTTTGATCTACACACGACATTGTTGGCCTGATCAACCAACAGAAGATTTACTACCTTACTACAGAAAAAGGTTTGACATTACTATGAAGGACGACAAGTTAATCTGGAGTGAACGAGTCATTATTCCTTCATCATTACGTCAAATCCTGTTAAACGATATGCATGCTGAGCATTTGGGGATTGTAAAAACAAAGCATCTTGCTAGAATGTATTTGTGGTGGCCAGGAATTGATGTAGACATTAAGAATCAAGTAAAAGAATGCCTGTCCTGCCAAGAAAATGCAAAGAAACCAGCTGACATCCAGCAAGCAAAATGGTCTTGGCCGGCGGGTCCTTCGAAACGTTTACATCTTGATTTTGCGGGGCCTTATGAAGGACGCATGTTTCTCGCTATAGTCGATGCTTACTTCAAGTACCTGGAAATTGTTTCCACGAAAACCTTCACATCAAGCAATACCATCCAAGCCTTAAGACATTTATTCAGTCATTTTGGTTTGCCTGATCACATCGTGACTGACAATGGTGCACAGTTTACTAGTAACGAGTTTGGAACATTTCTACGCCGAAATACACATTATTCCAAAATGGCTGACTAGCCCTTGATGTCTCGTTTTCATAAAATTATTCTTTTGTTTTTGAGCTTGAGTGACTTTAAAAGAAAAGAACAATTTCATGAAAACGAGACATCAAGGGCTAGTCAGCCATTTTGGAATAAGGTGTATGGTATTTTTCACACGAAGACAGAACCGGCACATCCCACTATGAATGGACTAGCTGAACGTTATGTGGGACATTTTAAGAAGAAAACTACTCAAATGAAAGCAAATGAAGAACCACTACAAGAGAGATTGGACAAGTTTTTGTTCACTTATAGGATAACACCAACTATAGTGGGAAAGAAAAGATTTGATTTGCTTAGACAGAGGAGTATGGAGTTGAAACAGCAAGTTAAAATCTTTCAAGATAATTCTGACTTCGAAGCTGAGTTCAAGCCTAACCAAGCAGTATTTGTTATGAATTTTGGAAAAGGAGGAAAATGGCTGCCGGGAGTTGTGCTCAAAGAGATCAGCCTAAGGAACTATGAAGTTCAAGTAGAAGACTTCATATGGAAAAGACATTGTACACAGATGAGATCAAGTAAATCAAGCCGCCAATGTCGACACAACTCGAAGATTGCTAGACAAGCATACCGTGGACATAAATCTTTATGAAGCCTCAGACTTTGTTAAAATATGGTCTAATTTCGACAAAAATTCTATAAAATAAAAATATTGAACTTCAAATTTTGAATTTAATAACTTACATGCATACGTAATACCTTAACGATATCGACAATGAATTATCAACACCATCACAATTTCTTAGTTTGAAGTGATGATACTTTCACTTTGAATGCTGACCGTTAAAATTTATATTTTGAGTTCTTACTTGTTGTAGTGTCGCCCGTGCATCGATTTCTTACGAAGGATAAAGTTTATATGAATCGATGAGCATTAAATACTGATCGACATGGATCGGAATAATCCTTGAAATCATCGTAATAGAATGCAGTGTCTATGAGCCATATTGACACGATATCTCCGAAAACGACTTCTAAAATCAACAGATTAATAGTGCACTTCGCGGATAATTCGAAATTTTACATTACGTYGTAATGGCAAATCATTGACATCACTAGAAAGAGCGTCATAAAATCAGCAAATTTGCCAAGTTTGAAAAYAATCTGRTTTAAATTCAAAGAGATACGGCACTTCAAAAACACTAAATTTTGCATAGAAATGTTTGGCGAGGTTGTAACAAGTCAAGGTCAACCTCGATATCATGCCGACAGCCCATACATTTCTYTGTAAATTTTGCYGACTTTTAAACGCTGTWTCTCCTTGAMTTTTCATCGAATCATGCTCAAACCTGGTAAACATACTAATTTCATACTGTTCTTTCCAGTGGTGGTAATAGTTTTTCGATATTTGCTCAATTTCTAATAGCTGTGTTATCCGCGAAGTAGACTATTGGTAAGAAGCTTATACAAGAACGTCCAGACCTCAAAAATCACATTTTGTGTGTTTAAAAAGCCATTTCTGTTTCAAAGAATATGCGTGGAATTGGGAGTGTCGGAAGAGTATGAGATAAAATAACCGCAGAGTTATAAAGGAAAAGGGGTATTAATTGAAATTACGTTTTTTGTTTGTTTTTTTTTAATTCGATTCCCTGACGTTTAGACATTCCGTTTATTTTTCACTTTCAACACTTTCATACTAATCAGTGATATTCTTCATAAAAACACTTACTATGATTTGTTTCTGCTGCACTAATATAAGCCGTTAGATTTTTAAAAGAGCTACCATTCCCATTTTTAATGGGGAGAAATCCAATAATTTAGGAGAGAAGAGTTTCATGAATAAACAAATCATCACCTTCAATGTTTTTATGATTCGCAAGCTTTTCAATACAAAAATTCTAAATTGCTTTTTTGTTGTTTTTTTTTTTAGCAATTTATGATTAAGGAAGCAGAAGGGGAAAAACGACTAAATGACTATTCAAGAGGCGTCCCGTAGTTAAGTTCATCAAACTCTCGCAATGCAGTGCTTGATGTTTTCTTAATCAGTGACCGCGTAGCGGTCTAAT